CCCCCGGGGGGGGGGGGGGTCGGCATGAAATAAAAATAAAAATCCACAGTATAATTGTGTATAACCTCATCCAAGCGTTCGTATATATGGCCCCAAGAAGAAAGGGTTTACTTTAGGTTTTTAAATGTAAAATATATTTACTTTCAATCATCATTTGGTTTTAAAAGTAATTTGCATTATTTTAACCCATCATTTTCCATCATGAAAAATCATGTTTTTTTTGCATTATACAGTTTTCGGACATGCAAACTCACCCAGAAAATCGCATTTCAGGGGCTCTAGATTATTCAAAATATTCTGGGGGAGCATGCCCCCAGACCTCCCCTAAAATGGCTGACTTTTTTATGCTGGCTACGCCACTGTCTCTATACCATCTTCTTTCAATCAATGCTATAAAATTTTATTGTCTCCCCCAAAACACTTCTTAAAAAAGATTTAAACCACCCTTTTACACCCATAAAATATATCCCCCCCAATTATTTTACCAGCCCCCCCCCCCCGAAACCGATAAATAATGAACCCCAAGTATGACAAGTATTTTGTATTTCCCTGTTGAAAACGTATTAATAGGTGTACAATTGACGTATTCATCGATATTTTAAAACATTTATTATTGTCAGCTTTCTACACCATATATACAATTAAAATAAGATTAAAAAGGCGATTTCAAACAAGTTTCGTCCTTCGGACCTTTTCAATAAATCGCCATATTGTAAAATGTAAATTAGTGATGGGCGATACCGAGTACTCGGTATTCGATACCAGCGATACCACAAACAGCGGTATCGGTATCGATTACTGACGTAGTATCGTTCGATACTTGCACCCTTTTTTAAACGACTTGTTTAATTTCACTTCTTGGTTGAATAAGACTTAATGAACCACTAAAATAACTCTTAATATTCCAAATGTGGTGCATCAGAAAATATTTATTACGTTTCGGGCTTTTGGTTTACATATAGCATTATTCAGATTACATATACAGTAATGAAAAATTTTTTCCGCTGACCGGCAGGTATCGAAAGTAGCCGATACTAGCAATTTAAGTACTCACTTCCGGTACCGAAAATTGAAATTTTGTGTTCATTTTGGTATCGAAATAGGTATCGGTATCGGCCGATACCGATCTTAAAAGTATCGGTATCGGTATCGAATTAAAAATCCTGGTATCGCCCATCACTAATGTAAATAGATAAAAACGAATAAAAACTTCATGTAGCACAAATATAGTCAATTTTCTGTTCAAAAAAGGTAAAGCTTCATGTAGTCATATAATTACTCTACTGACTGACCGAGAGGGGGGGGGGGGACAGGGGGGGAATTGCCCCGAGGCTCTGGGGGCCCCGAGAAATTTAATGTTGGGCCCCAGTCATTTTTTCGGGAGAAATATTTCTGTTTTCGGGCCGAAATGTGTATGTTTTGAGGGCAAAGTACCGAAATTTGGTATGGAAAATTGCGGGAAAGTCCCACGAAAAAGCAATTACAACGTACTTGTCACGAAACATTTTTTACCTAAAAAGAAATTATTGTCTGAAAAACTTTTTTCCGGAAAATTTTTTTGCAATAGGGGCCCCTAAAAAAATTTTTACCCCGGGCCCCCGCCAAGCTCTCGGCGGCCCTGACTGCTTCCGTGATTTGTCTCAGCATCGCAGGCACGGAAAATACCAGTAACATTCATAACAAAGGATGGTATATCACCTCCATGTTTTCACAAGCGTGTCTCCACATAACAGATTGTTCTTCACGGCGGTTCAAGGAATGTAAATGTTCTTTACCACGGCTATATGCACTTCTTGAAGTTTCTCCTATATATTTATCTTTACAGTGGCGTGCTGGGTACCAATATGCGCCCCTATAATATTATGCTTGATAAACGAGGGCCGAAGGCACGAGCCGAGCGCCACAGGTGCGGGTAGTCCGGGGGCATGCTCCCCAGGAAAATTTTTGAATTTAGAGTCTCTGAAAAGCCATTTCCTGGACTTTGGGGGAAGATTTGACAGAAATCTGATGGTCAGGAAACGGCATTACAACGTGTCGAAATTTGCAAATTGGTTAGAATTTAGTTGTAGTACTTAAATTGGGCAATGCTAACTACTTCCAGCAATTAATCTAATCCCAATTCTATTCTCTACTGATCTGAATACATTGACAACTTGCAGCTCTTTTATACAATAACACACAGACCCCACGCATATGCATTTTAAGGTTTTCTTGCCTGTCTGCCAAAAGAGCGCGTTTCAGCATTATATCTCGTTACTTACATTACTCATGATGTTTCTTGCGCAAACAACTAAATTGTGTACACAACTTTACATTATCATAACTTTAACTCTCTAATTTGCGTCGCTCTCGTGATTCGTGAAGCATAACAAAGGGCATAATATAAGGGTATAATACCAGCAAAAAAGGGCATAATTCCCGTGATCGCTTATTTGCTTCGAAGCCTGATCAATATTCCGGTAATGAGACATTGCGTGTGATCACTAATCATGTTTCTATATGAACGAGTGATTTCGTGTGAATCGTGAGGTAGCAAATACGGTTGGACAAAACAGTCTGCAATTTAATATACTCACTTTGTCGCCTATGCGCTTAGTCTGTTTATAAGTCTATAAACACATCTTTTCTTGGCGGAATTAGTAACTATATTTTTCGAATGCGTTTCTTCCCACCCACTTTCAAAATTTGGCGCGGGATCGGCGCCCCCTTTTCATTTTTGCGCCCCCCAAAAATTGCCAGCTGGGGGGGCCGTGGCCCCCCGGCCCCCCCT